GCAGTCTGCCTTGGTGTGTGTGTTGTGTACCTTCAAGTCCTTTCTGACTTGCAGGGCAGGATAGGGCAGGTGTATATGATAATATATGCCTGGTATTTGTATATATACACATGCAAAGCAGCACAGGAACACAACTGACAATAATCAACATGAGTGTAGTGTGGTGGTCTAGTCATGCCTTCTTCATGACTTTTTAGATTGGTGCAGATGATACCATCTTCCATTTGTAATCCTTCCATGTTTTCCCACTTCTTCCTCCATTTTTGTCTTTGCACTAGGGAAAAAAGTCTTTTAAGAAGAAAAGGGGGGAGCAACCCTCTGGTGACATGTCAGAGAAAACACAACATGCAAACAGAGGCAAGTGGAATAAATAGAGCTAATGACTGGCCTCACCTGCTGCAGCATCTGCTCCAAAAACATGGCACTCACACATCATAGTTTCATTTCCCATTTCAAGTAGTACAGGACCATAGAAAGCAGTATATATGTCACAGAACAGGCTAATGAGGAAAAGCGAACAGAGGTTCTCTGATGTCTCCCCTCACTCCACCGCATATTTGCTGACAGTCCGGCAGGTGGAAAACCTTTGGTCCACCAGTTATTTTTGCTTATAACTCCTATCAGCCCTACTCACCATAGCCAAGATTAAGAGACTGTGGGAACTCTAGCCCAAAATATGTAAAGACCATCTCCAACTTGACTTTTTCTTTTTGTCTATCTTGTGAGTCAGGCAGGAGAAAGTAGCCCAACATCTATAAACCAGGGATTGGAAATGGGTGGCCCACTAGATGTTGTTCTGCAGTCTCATCAATCTTGACCACCATAAAGGATGGTGGGCACTGAACAAATCTCCTGTATACACAAGGAAATTTTCACCCATACCTATTGTACAAACACTACAGGTTTGACCATAGGTGAGGTGAATGAAGATGACATGCAACCAGAACCGTCTTTTGCAACACTTTAGATTTTCACATGGCCAAAAGTGAAGGGAGCATAGCGGGATGCTCCTATCACTATAGCATAATTGTGCAGAGATTATCAGATGGTGTCATGCGACCTTGTCATAATTGTGTCATTAACCTGCGAATAAAGAGGAATTCTTGCACCACTTTTCATTCACAGGCTAAAGAGGAATTCTAGCACCACTTTTCATTTACAGGAAAGTCCTTTGAATAAAAAGCAGTGCTAAAATTCCTCTTTATTTGCAGGATAATGGCGCAATTATGATGATGTTGCACGGTGTCGTCTGATAATTTCCATGCAATTGCACGGTAGTGATGGGAGCATCCTGCTATGCTCCCGTTACTTTTGGCTGTGTGAAAATCTCCACTAACCACCTCCTTGCTGCTGGCCTGGTCCTACTATGAGATAGAGTTAATCAGCTGCTTTAGGCAGCAGACATTGTGGGATGGGGAGAAATGTCAGTGCCTCTTGCAGTCTGCCTTGGTGTGTGTGTTGTGTACCTTCAAGTCCCTTCTGGCTTATGGTGATCCAAAGGTAAACCTATTATGGGGTTTTCTTGGCAAGAGCTGTTCAGAGGAGATTTGTCATTGCCTTCCCCTGAGGCTGAGAGAATGTGACTTTACAAGTCCTGCTGAAAAAGAATAATTGTGGCTTCTGCAAAAATTAGTAATTTTTAAACTAACATTTGAGAGTTCTTTGAAAGTGTCAGCAAATATGGCCAGGAGTGATCTAGCAGACTTTGTATACTTTTGGTTTCAAAAGACTTTTGACAAAGTCCTTCATATTGATTCTGAGTAAACCTGGCAATCATGAGACAAGAGGAAAATGCCTGCCATGAAGGAGAAACATGTTTTTTTTTTCCCCAAAAGAAGAAGTGGAGAACAGGAAGCAATGGTCAGTTCTTGCAATTCCATGAGCAGTAGGGCCCTGCAGGGTTCTGTACAGGATTCTTTGAATTCTCCATTAATGACCTGAAGTAGTGAGGTGGCCACGTTTTCTGTTGACACCAAGATCCTTTAGGATTATTGGAACAAAAATGGATTATGAAGTGCTTTGAAATGAATTTCTGTACATTGGAGGACTGGGTATTAAAGTGGCAGATTAGATGCAATGTATGCAAGTCTGAAGTGATGTACAGTGTGCCCCAAAATCCCAACTGATGGGATCTGAACTGGCAGAAAATGACTTGAAAATGGATCTTGGAATTGTAGTAGACATCTCACTGAAAATGTCAGCTTGTTGTGAAGCTGCTATGTGTGTGTTTTAAAAGGCAAATCTAATACTGGATATATAGGCTGACTCCCTTGATACTTGGGACCACAAGTGTTTGGAATTTGGTTTTTTTGGATTTTGAAATATTTGCATATGTTGTTGTTGTTGGGTGCCTTCAGGTCATTTCTGACTTATAGCAACCCTAAGGCGAGCCTATCACTGGATTTTCTTGGCAAGAGGGGGTATGCCCTTGTGAAATATTTTAGAAATGGGACACAAGCCTAAACATGAAATTCAGTTATGTTATGTATATACCTTATAAACATAACCTGAAGGTAATTTTATACATCATATTTTAAATAATTTTGTGTGTGAAACAAAGTTTGTGTACATTGAACCATCAGAAAACAAAGGTGTCACTGTCCCCAGCCACCCATGTGGACAATTTTGGATTTTGGAGTATTTTGGATTTCAGAATTCTGGATAAGGGATACTCAACTATAAATAGAAAATATAATGGCCTGAATCATGTTGGGGCATTGTGTATTCATAAGTGGACATGTCTGTGGGAATTAGAATTGTGCAGTTGTGCGATGTTCATATCCTGTAAAGGGCTGCTGTTACATTATTATATAGCAGAGCTGGCAAAGTAACCAATGTGTGAAGTCGTAGGCTTTCATGGCCTGCATCCATAGTTTTTTTGGGGGGGTTTGGGCTGTGTGGCCATGTTCTAGAAGAATTTCTTTCTGACGTTTC